CTATATGTATATATAATGTATATTGAAGAATAATTCCGACTCTAAGGACTGCGCAGTTCTGTACGGCTTCTCGCAATCGACGGCTCTGGACAAATGCCTGTGAATGCAGGATATAAACTCGTAGAATCAAACTGCATACTATGCAATAAGCTTTACCGTACCAAACATGCTCCGAAACAAAACCGGCTGTCGCAGAGACGAAGTGACAACATGAATCCAAACGTGACCCACTGAAACCTGACCAATGAAGTTCCATGATTCCATGGTATTCTTGTCACTGAGTTCTTCGACATCTTAAACCGCTTACACCCTTCTATCTTGCCCCTGGCGCCTCATAAGGCACTCGCTGGTTAGGCTCCACTTGATCTGTTGTGAATACTCCAAGAGCATGCAGCTCGCTGTTAAGCCGCCTTACCTTCCAACAGGAACGTTTGACATTATGTCATTCCGTGTCATTCCATGTCGTTCCATGTCGTTCCATTAAGGCTTCAACTGCAACGGTGTCTTTGGCAAATGTTTGCAACTCTGTTTGTTTTTTGCCTTGTCTCCTGCTTTGTTTTCTTTGCGTGTGAGGCCGCAGTAGTCAAACAGCTTCACCAACAGGCCACACCTGGAGCATGTTGCAAGGATGCAACATGTTCAAACATGTTCGTTTGCAATATTTGCAACAGCCAAGACTTTTTTTCGAACCAACACCTTTCCTTACAAAGGACACAAAGGACACAAAGGACTCGCCTATCTCTTGCCTTCTGTGTTATTGGCTGGTGAAAGTGTGGTTAGGATCGTTAAGAATCTAAGAACAAGAAGCCTGGTGATGTATCCATCTTGTCTTAATCTTGGAACCAAACACTACTGTAAATTCTCGAAAATCTCAATGCCTGCGTGGCTGTTTGGCAACAGGCTTGTGACGGCAGACTCAGAAGCTGAGGGAAAAGCCTGTGCAATCCATCTATTGGCGTGGGACACCACCTGCAGTTCAAGTTCCATAATCTAACGTGCTGAGACAAAACGTACCCTTTTCACATGCCGTTTCAGCTCGATGTTGGTTAGTGCCTCCAGAAAGTGTCCAGGTCTTGTTGAACAAACTCCTGGTGCAGCAACATTGCACATTGAAACCTGCCGGTTGCCTTCTACTATTGAAGTTCCCGGTATATAGGTCCTCCAAACTCCGTGGCTGATCTGCCAAGAGTCTCAATGACACCTGCTCGACATCAAAATAATAAACCTTGCGACCTCCTTGCTTCTTGAAATGCTTCCATAATCTTCAAAACTGTTTCACATGTTTCACATGTTTCACATGTTTCGCATGTTTCACATTCTTGGCACTTTCATCTTCCTTTCATCTTCCTTTCATCTTCCTTTCCTTGCAGAGCTTCACGCCTCTTCCTTGGCAGGAAGCACTTCCCGAGGTGCCATCTCTCTGCCAACATTCAGCTGATCCTTGCCAAACCGCGCTACTGTGCTTCAGATTCGCTTGGTGTTCGCCAGATTTCGTAAGTCTTGTAGGTTTGAGGGCAACGTCTGTCCTTGGCAGAGTTTCGAAACAACTTCAAGTCCTTCAAGCCAGCAAATGCGGCCCAATGAATGTGCTGAAGGTCAGTTGTTTCAGCCTTTTAGCGCTGCTGTAAAGACAACTGCAGTTTCAAGTCTCCTCGCGCCGATTCACGCTCCGAATGGGATCTCGGAAATCATGGGTCCAGCTGTGGTTAGACTCTGAGCGTCCCTGCAGCGAAACACTTTTGAACCACTCCCATGTGGTACCAAGCTGATACCAATCATGACTTGAACTCAATACACATAATTTCACATACTGCACCTGCCTAAAAGATCCAAAAAGAATTACTGAGTGCCCAGCCTGACTACCCCGGCTGCTTCCGCGGAGATTCTCGATGCGGGGCACCTTCAAGGATTCCAACAGTGTTGGTGTGTGCAAACAGTGCAAATGATCTGTATATATGATCTGTATATGGTACTCACTTGAGTTGTCTTGATTGTGGGGCACTTAGCTGGAATTGGCGTGCACGCGGCATATCCACTTGCATGCGTGCCCGCATGTGTGCAGGGTGGGCCTTCACTTGGGTATGTGTCAGTGTACAACAAAGAAGCGACCAGTTGCAGTAATACATTTCATAGCGCATCTGCACGTTCATCTGTTGATGTTCATGAAACTAACAACGACCAATGCCATTCAATGGTGGCATGTTGCATGACGTTGGTCAACGTCGGATTGTGAAACTTGAGGCCGGGGGTGGATGACGAAAGCTAGCGGGGTAGGAGAAAGAAGGAATGGAAGAGGTGAGTTGCGGAGGGACTGTCATCATCGTGTCGCGGCATTGTTCGTCCCAACGAGGATGCAACAATGATATATTGATATATGATATATAACAATGATATATATGGGGGAGGGGGCAGGGGGACCCCTTTCGCGGGAAAAATCACGTGATGTCCTTGGGGAGCCCCGGAATACGTGCTAAAGCAAGAAGACTCTAGCGAGCTGACG